TTACAAGTTACATGTACTTACTATTATAATAACAATAAATTATGCATAATTACATGCAAGTAACCCTAAGACTAACCCTAACCATATAGTAAGTATACTGTACATGTAGTTCATAAATATTACTCAGTACTTAAATGTATAATTACACTATAACAAGGACACCTTAAAATAAGGTGTAACCCAAATTCATCTTGATAATGTCAGATAACTTTGATAGAAAGGTATGTAAGGGATTACAATCAACCAAAAAATATTCAGCTGTTAAATGTAAGTACACAATTAGATAATACCAATTTAGGTCAACCAATTACCAATTAGTTTTGTTCAGACTGTGGTGTAAAAAGGTCGCATTAGCAATTAAAGGAAAAACACTTAAGCAAAACATGGTTAGGTCTGAATAATTCTGAATAATTTTTGATCCCAAATTTTACTGCTAGTCCACTGTATGAAGAATTTCTGGGTATAATTTGTCACAGTTCACTTTATTTTGCTATCCTCACTTACATTTACACGTATGAACTATAGTGTCCTGCACCCACTAGTAAAAAAAGGTAAAAAATTATATCTGGTGTCTGAATAATTTTTGGTTTGACTGTAATTATGCATAATTTATTGGTATTATAATAGTGTCACGGTATGCTGTTGGAAGGAGTACGAGGGAAACGAGGAGTACAATCAAAAGTCTTTAATCCAAGGAACACGGGGTAAATCCACACAAAGGGCGCTGGAGCAAACACACGTACACAACGAGTAGACCTGACAGAGACAGACTGCACAGACTGGGACTTAAATACAGGGGATGATTGGGGAAACACAGGTGCATGGTAGGCATTTGTGAGCCTCTGGGCATTCAGGGCTTAACTCTGGATCGGAAGCCCCCTCTTGACTGAACACGGAAACAGGATGGCGCTCAGGAGGAGCGGACACTGGAGGGTGCTTTCTAGGAGCAGGCACTGGAGCGCGCTCTGGACTGGATTCGGGGACTGGAGCCCTCTCCTCTTCGGTTTGGCACTTTCGCCGCGCCATACTCAGCTCACCCTCAGCTGCGGTGCAGGGGGCGGAGCTCCTCTCCAAGCTCACACCGTCCGCGGCTTTCTCCCTCGTGACGGGCATTATCACCGGCTCTCGCACCTGGTCTGACGGATACAGCTCTACGTCCGGGGCGATCCTTTGCTCAGTTGCTTGGCTTTGCGCTGGCTCGCTGATCGCGGCGTAAGGGAACAGAAACAGGGGCAAAACATGATACAGACAGTCCATGATCCTGACAAATAGTAAGTACATGTAACATGTGTAAGGACACCTTAAAATAAAGTGTTACCTAATCACTTTTAAAGTGCTATACTGAAAGTTCTTTTCCTAATTTTCTGGGCCAAAAATGGTCGGCCTTTATAATTACTTCTCTCATTATGCGATTAAAATTATGCAGTTCTGTTTGGTACTGTTTGGTTGTAGGCCTGTGTTTGTAGGGCTGTATTTGTGGATAATTTTGGCAGTGTTCACTCAAAAGGTGCTCAGATCAATGTTTAAACTAAATTAAAAATATTATTATCAATAAAATTAATTAATTCAGTCACTCAGTCAATTAGTATGTTACTGAAATGTATATATATATATATATATATATATGTACACACACACATACACACAGTATATACATATATATAATTTTTATAATTTTTTTTGGTTATACCCTGTGTGAGCAAAGTCAGTAAATTTTAGTCCAATGCAATAGCATTAACTACTATTTTCAGAAAAAAATAGTGATACTAACACAACATGAGGGTTAAACATGAAATGTTTAGTGGATTGCATGAGTTGACCATCAGACAAATAGCACACATAAAGAAAAAAGATCTTAATTACGCGAGAGATGCTAATGCATACACTCATTATTCAAGAACATGATGCAAGTATAAGTTCTTAATTCCTGAGATTATTACATTAGCACCTTCATGTCTATTCTTCAGTGCCAAATTGTCTCCTCCAAATGGGTTTTAAAACCCATTTATGATGTTAAGCACAATAGTCTTATGAGTTGCATGCATTCATGCATTCCTGGGCATGTGCATGTTCTCCCAACAGAGAGAGAGCCAAGGTGCACAGAGAAACATCAGAGAACATCAAACAGACCGTGAGCTGAGAATATATATTAAATGTCCACCCCCACACTGAGATTTACTCCATCCCTCTGTTACAGCGCCACCGTGTCAAGAGAGGCACCATGCGCTTCTGCAAACGTACACGCGTGAATGGTGTTCGTACAAGTTGAGTTCTATGGATGCATTTTTCTCTATTTCCAAGGCGAAATCTTTGAAGCTGTCAGTATAAACCCGGTGCTTTTGATCTAGTGCAGTGCGAGCCGTGTTTCTGTAGAGGGCAGGCCACTGAAAGCATTGGTTCAATGTTGCATCACTGCAGATTATGTCATCAACTCACTACACACACACACACACACACACACACACACATGCAGAAGAGCAGAACTAGAGCAGAACCAGAGGAGGGTTTGCAATGTACCAGGGTTAGTATAACGACGTGGCCCTCAGCTGCGATTATAAAGGCAAATGGAGTGGAAAGTCTATATAGGTGATCAAATAGGAAAGGAACAGGATCAAATGCTTGTCAAATAGTGTCAGACAGCCTTGTGCTCTATCAGGGATGAAGTTGCTAGATGACGAAAGTGAGAGACAGAGGTCCAAAGGAAAGTCGAGAACACGGTCTTGTCTTCTCAGGAGAAACTCACTCGATCTCCCTGTGGAGATAAAACACAACGAAAGACAAATACAAGATCAGCAGAGATGAAAAACGTGCCATATATGCCTCGCATGCGTTTTCATCGCCTGTATCCCGACGTCAATTATTAATGTTTGATGGAAATCATTTTTCCGTGTGAAATCTGGGTGCTAATGCGCCATTTTAAGTCATACGTTATTGCATCTTATATATTTCAGGCGGTACATTGCAAAAGGCCTCAAATGACTGCCTTTAGCTCCCCTCAGGAAAACAAATAATGAAACTTTAGCGTTTGAGTTTGATAAGTGACTATTTTGAGAGGATGTGTTGATTTTCTTGATTCGGTAAATCTCACGCCTTCGGCATTGAGGGAAATTTTGGGATTAAATGTGACGTTTGCTTCATGATCCCTTTGAAAAAAATCAGATGAATCAAGGATTTGGAGAAGAAAGAAAATATATAGCAGATTAGTTTTTAGGAGTTGGCCCTGATAAATCTTGGATGGGGCTCTAACCTCAACAACCGCAGCAACAGAGTCACCCAGAAGAACATCACCTCTCCTGTTTTCACCTGCTCGAGTCCCGCGGCTGTTTTAGGTTCAGAAATTATTCATGTATTTACAGCCTCGATAAAGCATCCAGTGGAAACCTGTGTGCCATCATAGTTTCCTGAAAAATACATCTACGGCATTCTGTGGAGCTGGGATGAGAAGATAAGCTACAGAGCAGAAATAAATATGAAAGACCACACCATTTCCAATTCAGGAAAAATGAATGGCAGAGAAATCGCAATATAAAGCCTATATATTTTGTATTATGGCCTATAATCAAAATGTTATTGCTCTTTTTTAAGATCGTGAGACATGACGGAGTTCTCAATTATGTTATAAATGCTGTCTCATGCATTTATCCTACGATTTTCAGAGAAAAATGTCAATAGATATGAGTCAGACAAGTTAGTCTTTTTTTTTTTGCTGAGATGCAAAAGTTTAAAATAAATCAACGACCTTCACTAATTATTAATATTGGACGTCTGGACAAAATGTTTTCATGTTTATTAATGTTTGTTCATGCAATGTAGGGATTCCCAAGCTTTTGACATTTTTTTGATTTCATTAATTATTAGCTTTTCATGAACACGGCTTTTTCATGAAAAATTTTGGGAAACTTGATGTAATGTTTAATGCATTTCATGATATTGATAACAATTAATTAAAGAATGAAATGCATTTTTTTTTCTTCAATATTGTAATCACATTCAAGTCTATGTGATAAACAATTTAGGTCAAAAGTATTCAAAAAGTAGTCAGACTACATTACTCAATATGTGTAATCCAGATTATGTTACTAACTGTTTTTGTCATGTAATTTGTAATCCGTAATAGATTACAATTCGTAAGTAATCTACCCAGCACTGTGTACTGTATTGTATATTTTTAGATTAATCTCACTGCTGTCTGTGATTTTTTCCCTTTATAACTAGTTACAGATCTCTGTACATTAGAACATCTAGGCATAAAAACATGTTTTTTTTTCTCCCCATTCCATCTGCAGTTTAAACAGCTAACACAGGAATTATTACCTGTGTTCTGTAATTCAAGTACTATGTAAATACATATGCATATCTCTTTATTTTATACAGCTGCATACAGAGTAAATAATGCACAAATCTGTACATAAATCTTCTGTTCCAGATTCATACACATTATTATTAGTTATTGTAAAGTCTCATGTCAGATATGTATGTATACAAACCCCAACAAATTCTAAAAATAAAAAAGCTAATTCTGATTCTGAGTCGCACGCCAATAAAACGGAGAGAAAGAACACAACGTAATGAAACATACTAAAAACTCCCTCCTTGATGCAGAGTAGGGGATTTTTTCTGTTTTCAGAGCACAGACCTGGGCTTTTCCATGGTGTCCTTGCTGAGGTAGATGTACCAGTAGATGAGGTTGAAGATCCCAAAGGCCAGAGGGAAGAGGACGCGGGAGTATTTGTCTATGGCACCGGTGCCTGCCAGCATCATGTTGGGTGGGACGGCCGAGCCCTGAAGGAAGATGGGATAGCGATTCCTAGGCGCCTCGGACACAGAGTTCGCCCGTCTTCTGCGGGTAAAGCCACTGGTATCAGACTGAGGCTGTGACACAAGCAAACCGTGAAGAACACGAATCAATCCCACCTGATATAAGACATATATAACAGAGACAGAACCAGCATTTAGGGTACTGATTAAAAAATCCCTTAAATAAAAGTGTGATGAACAGTCGTCAGAAAAATAGACAATTTGTATATATTCATGTAAAGCAGTTTAAATGGACAGTTCACCCAAAATGGAATATTCTGTCATCGTTTACTCATTGTCCACTTGTTCAAAACCTTTGTTTTTTTTCTTCTGCTGAACACAAAATAAGATATTTTGAAGAATGTTGGTAACCAATCAGTTGAAGATAGCCATAGTATTTCTTCCATACTATGGAAGTGAATGGCTACCGTCAACTGTTTGGTGACTAATATTCTTCAAAACATCATCTTTTGTGTTCAACGGCTGAAATAAATGTATTTGCTATTTGTTAGGTTTTGAAACAACTTGAAAGTGAGTACATTTTGAGAGAATTTTCATTTTTGAGTGAACTATCCCTTTAAAGAGGTTGATCGTGTCCCACCAACAAGCTGTGGTCCTTCCTTTAATGTAAGTCTATGGGATTTTTTCACAGGCTTTATCATCCACCAGGTGAAAAATTAAACTGCACACTTCTCAGGAATGGTATTCAAGGGTATTATTTGAGTGTACTGAACAAAGGCTGACAAGTTACGCCCTAAAGACAGTACAGTGCTGTGAAAATGTATTTGCCCCCATCCTGATTTCTTGTTTTTGTTTCATAAACACATACAGTTCTATGCATTTATTTATTTTTATTGAAGCAAAAAAAAAAAGAGGCTATTCAAAAATGATCAGCAATTTCAAATTGATTAGATAACTTGTTTATCATTTAAAAACTATTTTGTATTTACTCAGGTTGCCTTTGTTTTCATTTCTGAAAGACTTGAGATATACACAAAAACAGCAGAAATCGGGATGGGGCCAAATGCTGCATAACACTTATGGATAGGAAAAAAACACATATCAGCTTTAAATAAAAAGAAACAGACAGTTATTGAAGATCATAATTACTCAAAATTTACTCTGACTTAAAGGTGCCACCACATTTACCATTGCTCGGAGAATTTTCGCAGACGAAATCCAGACATTTCAATAGAAATCCACACAATCTTGAATTTCGTTACGGCGAAAGATTTCCACACCGATTCCGTTTGCAACGGGTTCAAGTTTGTCACAAATTCACCGTGTTGACCAAAAGAAAGCTGCTTGGTTTGACTTATGAGTGAGCTGTGCTTTATACATCTCTACACATCATAATGCACAATGAATGGCGCTTTATTCACCAAAATTTGGTTCATTCTGCATGTGGAAGTCCTTGGCTCTAACGAATTCTAGATTGAATGGATGCCTATTAAAATTATTGGATTTCACCAGCCGAACAGTGGCGAAACATCTGCCAAGTCATCTTAAAATAGCCAAATATCAATTGATTAATTGGACTCGCCAATATATAGCAACATTTCTAGCACTTTATAAAAATAAGAGGTCAAACTAAACCCCAGTCATTTTATATTTCCTTCCCATCCAGTCTGTAAGCCGGAGAGAACTGGAGCAAGTGGATCCGCAGCACAGGTGAGAGATTACAAGAGTCATGGCTCGCAGTTTTAATACAGGTGGCTGTTTTTAAAACACCAACCATGAGCTCCCCGCGTGAGAGCGGTCCCGGGAGACGCCTCACGCCTGTAGAATTATCATATCCAACTCAGCACAACAGATTAGAGCTACAATCCACACGTGGCTGCATGAGAGCAGGTGAATGACTCCTCACTGAACACCTGAACAATTCAGTTTTTAACACATGCATTAAAGGTTGAGCCATGTGTTATGTATTTAGTTACGCGTGCTAAATACAGTGGTGGCCAAATTATTAGAACACTAGTATTTCCACCAGCTAAAAATGGTTTTAAGTCAGTTATTTCTATCGTTTGCTGTAGTGTGTCAGAAGGAGATATCAGTTTACATTTCAAAACATTCATTTAGCCATTAATTGTAATAATGCAGTGAGATGTTTGTGCTCCACACAGAGATCTGATCTGATCATCATCAGTCTGTCTGAGATTACATGAAGAAACAGAACAAACTGAGACAGACTCAATCCAGAAGAACTGTCTCCAAGACGCTTCAAGAAACCTCCTGCAAAGCTACAGTAGCCTACTGTTAAAAGTATAAACTGTAAAATGAGGATGCTGTCAAAAATAATGTCATACATATATTTTCTTTATCAATTAACTTCTATTAACGAAATGAAATCAACATTTGGTGTGAGCATCCTTTGTGTTTAAAGCAGCTTTTGCCCTCGGTGCACTTGA